TGACCAGGACGACCTTTTATGAGGATTTGATTTTAGATCCACTTCGGATTTTTTTGTGATCCTTGTACTTTTTATTTTTCTGTTTTTGATGTTGCCCTATGTATTTTCGACTGTGATGTGGACCATTGACTTTTTAGCCCTATCTGGGCCATTATATTCACAGGTCGGGGGTGTAGCCTCAACCCCCCATCCCACTAGGAATGTTTATATATATAAAAAAACTAAGCTGTAACAGAATACACACACATACATACATAGCAGTTTATATTTTCACTAAACGTACAAAATTTGAATTCCAATCAAGACATGTTTTCAAACAATTGCTATTTTTGGCAAATAGTCGGACGTTATCGAGGAATATATAAACAATGCAAGTCGCCAAGTAACTCGTAAAAGATATATAAATTTTGCATCAATGAATATTAAGGCATATACAATGAGTTTATACATATGTTTACAACCCCAAAAATTCTCACGATCCAAATCGTCGATAGTAAAACCGCTCGATTTTACCTTTGGATGTCAACATGGGTATATGCAAAGGCCCTTTAGTCAGACGACATTCTACAGAACACTTTAAGTAGATTATATATATATATATATATATATATATATATATATGTATGCTCGGTTCATAAAGGGACTTGCTATTTGCAAGATTTTAACATATATTCCTCAAAAACCGATGCTTTTGAGGACAAAACAAAATGGAGCATAAATAAAGGTGCTCCGAGAGTATCTTTCTTTTTTTGTCCTTTTTCTTATGAGGTTTTTTCAGAACCTACCTACAAACGACGCCCTCACAAGGATGTTCGTGCAAAAATGACGGCTCGAGATAGAGAAGGGATTTCTTAACCACAATTTCAGAATATACAAAACACCATTACTTCTTGTCAATTAACATTTTCAAGAAAATTAGTTCGTGAAGATGGAAAATGTATAAAAGAAAGAAAAGAACCAAAATAAAAAAAGTATTTATTAAAATCTATTAGAAAAATAAAATGATTTCTCAGTTGATATATTTATGTTTAATGTAGTTATATGTTGTAAGTTAAAAAAATTATTATAAAATAACACAAGTAAGTCACACAAATAAAAAGTGTCATACTAAATATATAATAATATATATTTTTATAAAAGATATTTAAATTTTCAACTACTTTTTCTCATTAATTTTAGATTTTAAGGAAAAAATTAGCAAGCACCCATGTAATACACGGGCGTTGTACAAGTGTATGATGAATATGCAATAATAATAAATAACTAACCAAATGGTAATTAATTCAAATGGTGCTCGTATTTTTTATTATATTTTCAAAATTATATAGGTATAAAATTGATATTATTTGCAACTTCATATATTTAATTTATTGTTTTAAATAAAGCAATTATATTGTATCGACCTTCAACGATTATATAAGTGTACTCTTCAGCATTATATGACATGATAGGCAATGTGATAATATGTTATTTATCCATGTGTAATAATATTTTATATATTATTCTATTATTGCGAACCATATAATTAGTTGAACCTAATTGAATTAATAGTCAAACTTTATTAAAGGTGAATATGATTTAACGGATATTAATGTTCTAATATTAAAGAGTCCAATTTGTGATATTTGACTTGGACAGTGAGTTATGTTAGAACATGTGGAATGTTAGTAGGATTAGAATTATATGTCTCCTCATATATATACTACATGCCCTCTATCTCGGCTCATACGAAAATAGAATTCTCAACATCAAGGGCTTTAAGAAAAGACGAGAGACGCGGGAGAGAGAAATAATTCATGGGCAAAGACAAATCCATCATGGAGATTGAGGAAGGAGGATCGTAGATCAACATCATAGATCAAGTAGATCAACATTATAGATCAATAAAACAGAGAATGGCTATATGATGTATTCTTGTAAGTTTTTATGTGTAATTTATTTATGCAAAGATCCATATTCTACGAATTGATAGAATTACATGCTTAGGATTTATTCAATTCTGCCTAATATGAATATACCTGTGAAATTTCTTACACTATGTCCATGCCGTGATTATACTATCTTTTATTATACTAAATATATTGCACAATTATTCCCACGGTAAGCTTGTTGTTTGCTCACCCCCATTATTTCTATCTTTTCCAGATTGAGTTTGTGTTCGTGGAAATGGACGGACGAGGGTGGTCATTTGTTTATTTAAATTGTTATGAACGACTTCCGCTTGAAATTGCTATCAAAACTTTACGTGTTTGGATGTTTTGGAAACATTGAACTGATGTCTTATGTTGCGAGGTTACTATTGTTGTACCACAAATACTTGAACCGCTGGAGTGCTCCTCTCGAACCGGGTAATGTCTCCTTGATCGTCGGTACCTGCAAAGCACGTCGGGGGTGGTCCCGGCGCGAACACTCTGACGCTCAAGTCAGTGATGGTCTAGAGAGAAAACGGCAGAGTAACGAGATAATTCGTATATGTGTGTTGTGTAAAATAATGAACCTGCTCCTTTTTATAAGAGAAGTTTGGAGAGTCCTCATGAGACAAGAAGTCTTCCTCATGTATATCTCCTATTAGGTCAAAAGATTATGAATCCATGGAGTCTTTGAAGCTGTGAACCTCTTCATGACTTAAGCACAAAACTACCTCCGAGCTCTGGTCCCCTCGACAGGGCCCTTTGGCTTAGCCGCATGAGTTCCACGGTACCCAGCTACCTAGATAGGTCGTCGCATCTCAACAGGTCGTCGCACCCTGGTGACACCTCTGATGGTACCTCTAGTAGTACCCTTGGTGGCATTCCCGGTACCCTCTCATAAGATAGTGACGACCGGATCACATCCGGTCCTTCACGACCACTACTAACGACCACATCAACTATGAATGATTATTGATTTATAAATCGCTTGTTAACTCGTGTTGTGGATTGGGAAATGAGTTCCCAACGACTTAAGATGATGTTAAGCCGAGTAAAATGGATGAATGATTTGAGTATAGCCCGTTAAATTGTTTTAAGTCGATAAATGATTTTCGATAAATGATTTTCGAAAAACTTTGAGATTTTTCCTTTAAAAGTAACGGGGCATTACATTAATTGATTAGACAAACACATTTAATGCATCATGCTACCTTATGAGTCTAAGACTTGCAGGTCGTCAAATTAATCGGCAGAGATGTACTTTTCCATGATTAGACTGCAAGTGACCTTTATTTTATTGTTTTCTGCTCGACATGTTCGTCCAGTTATGGTTAAAGTTTCTGTCGAATTTGGCCTCGTTGCCTCTTTTGCCACGGTCCTCCTATGTCGGATTATCAGTCTGGGAATCAGCTCGGTTCATTGGGTGCGAACTGTCTTAATCTCTCTCGTGGGCTCCTTTATTCAACTCGGGGATCAAAGTAATGTAAGAAATTATCTGGTTGGTCAAAACCGATTCTAACTATAATCACCACTTCTATTTTAACTAGCTAATCACCACTCAATTACTTTTAGGCAAATGTTTAACTTAATGACTTTTAGGCAGAGTTTGAGGTGTGTTTGTTTGTAAGTTTCTTCAATTCATATTCAAAATCTAACTCAACCACATTATCCTTAATTTTATTAATATAATCAAATAAATAAGACCAATCAATTATTTTTACAAATCACATCAACAATATAATTTTAACTAACTATCATTATCATCAGTCTTTTATTTTTTATCAAACTAATTTTTAATTATTTTATTATAATTATTATTATAATATAAACTCAAAATGTTACACGACAACATTTATTAAAATTTTTAAAGGTAATCATAGTTATTAAAATAGTCATTTTAAATGGATAATTTTTTACCATAAAATTATAAAAAAGTTAAGTTGTGGAAAAAAAAATACACAAACAAATGAGAGTGGACCATAATAAAAAGCTCGTATTCAATGAATACGTTTTACCAT